ATCCCGCCAAATCACAGCATTACCTGTGTTTGTTGGATCCGAAGTTTTTACGCCGGCTGGTAGATCCACCCTAGGAGGTCGTGGATGACGGTGTCTTTGGTTAAGGCCGCTCCACGGATTTTTGTCAGCCGGGTCGGGCCATACGTCCAGTTTAGGAAGGGTTTTTGAAGGACATTGAACTGACCCAAACCTAAGTACAATCCGGAATCCTCCTCAACCAGGGCTTTAGTAATAACCCCATTCAGTTGGGATTCCTGAATGGGGGTAGGTAGGTTAGTTCTTTGCTTACTCCTATCTTTGTTGGTTTACTTCCGGTTCGTCAGTGTGTGTCCGTCTCCGGGTCGTCCGGATGAGTTTATCTTTGTCTGTGTGCGTTGAAGTCCCCTATAACTATCATTGCCCCTTTTTTGTTGTTTATGTCTATTTGTTTTGTTAATCGCTGTATGTCTTCAAGTTGTGTTTATCCGACGGAATGTGTGTGGATATTACGCAAAGTCTCTTTTTGTTGCAGGTTAGGACTATTGTGGCGATGCTGTCTGAGATGGGGTAGAATTTGTCGTTTGGAGGGCCTTAGATCGTTTTAAGAGTATCGCTACTCCCCGTCGAATCGAATTGTTTTGTCCTCCGCTTAAGTACCAATCGTACGTGTTTGTTAGCGCGTCCAGTTGTCATGAATGTTTCTTGTAATGCTATTATGTCTAGATTTAGTTGGGATAATGTGTCGTCAATTATTTCCCTCTTGTCTGCTTGCCTACAGCCCCTTACGTTAGTGTGCCTATTTTTATTGTGTTGTTGTGTACTACTGTCTAAACTTGTCGCCCTGTTACCGGTCGATTGTGTTTGCGTGTATTCCCCGTTGCCACAGGCTCTTATGTTGGTTATTTTTCCTGCCTCTGTTAAGCAAGGCTTGAGTCAATGTTGGCCAGATATGTACTATACTATCGTAGTGATCTCTTGTCAGTACGCCCCTGTTCGTGATGTATTTCGATTGCGACGTTAAATATGTCCGATGCTGCTATTTTTGTTTCCAATCTCACTCAGAAGCTGTTTTGTGCGTGGTCCTTTAAGTACGCCTCTGTTTTACGTTCCAAGTCGTTAATATGCGCGTAGCGATGGGGTTGGTCAAGGATCGCATCCTGTAAATACGGTCTGTATGTTTCGATGTGTGTTCTTAAGTGGTTATTTAGTCTTTGTCTTAATGCGTATGTACTTCCTATTGTTGACCTAGTCAGGCTATTGTCTAGATGGGCCAAGCTGATCACTAAGCAGTTTCCGTCGGATGGAATTTTAATTATGCCCACGATCGTATTTATTTTCATGTTTGTTATGGTTTGGGTTTATTTATTTATTAGATTGGCGTTTATTTATGGGATTAGAATGTTTATTGGGGGATGGAGCTAATGTCTTATGTGTGCCTTTTTCTTTTTTGTTTACGTAATGATTTATGGGTTGACAATCTCTATAGGGATCTGTTTATTTTCTGGTGCCAGCTATAGGGTTCTTGGAAATTATGTTTCGATGTATACGTTTTACGTTTCGATTTTTTGGAATAAAATAATTTGTTAATAGACATGCAGTTAGAAAAATTACTTAGCTTGATTATTAGGCCATAATCCTGATGCTTTGTCTTTCACGGGCTGTCCGTTGTTCTTTGACCTCGCCTGCAGGTTTTTGGCACGCTTTGATTGTAGCGAAATCTCTGCTGTCCATGTGGGCCGGTTGGCTTATCGTTGTGGCTTAGCCTTAATTACTTATTCACTTGCACACTTTTACGGCGTTAACCGGGGTCCTCCCGCACTTTTCGCACTTGTTGCACTTTTCGCACATGTTTGTTTATTTATTTATTTATTTATTACCTATTACTGATATTTCCGGACACTTAGATTCGCTTTTGATACTTTACTACGTTTGTATCGTATACGCTGCATAGGAGGGATCTTGTCGAGCGTCCTACCACTTCAAGAGTCAAGACCCAACTGTGCGATATTTTTTAATTAATGTGTGTACCAAAAAATAAAAGATAATAAATTGTATAATAGTATATTATGTATCAAGTTTGATAAAGGCCATTTTATGCACGAATTTAATTTAGGCACGAGCGAGCCTAAGTTAATGAGTGTATAGAAAAGTTTACAAACGAGGTGCATACTATACTTTTTCTACGACAAATACTTAATATTATCTTAAAATGATTTAAATCAAAAATTTGTATAGAGCGCCATCTATGAAACAACAGGGGAAACTGTCAAATGTCACATTTTTACATTTTATAAACACAATTATAAAGGTTATAAATCGAATTGTATCTTGAAAATTGACAGTTTTTCACAGTGAAAGTAAAGAAAATGTTTTATGAGGACTTTACAGTAGAGTCCTTGCCCGAATTTAAGTTATAGTTTACTGCCGGCGAAATTAAAAGGTCAGTACAATGTTCCTATAAACTTTTCAAATATTGGCGTTGAGAAAGTATTTAATATTTTTGTATTTTTGTATTGAGATAATAAAATAATTTTCACATTTAGTATTATTTTACAAGAAAGGCACTTTATTTTAACGATTGTTTGACATTTGACAACTGTCAACTACTTAAAACTAACTTCAGCCCGTGACTAAAAACCTGTTGCTAACTTCAGCCCGTGACTAAAGCGCCGTGAAGCCACAACTTGTCAATGTGTATTTAAAAGGTCACTTAGTGGCATGGAAACATGTACGATAAAGGGCGTTTTAAAGGTGGGAGTAGAAAAAAGATATTTATGTACGTATTTTTATTTCAAAACATGCCCCTATCTACAACATAACAATATACACAAAATAAGAGTCGTTTGAGGTTATGCCCATGCCATTAATTTAAATTTAACCAATTAAAATGTATCTTGACAGTGTTGCCCAATTCCCGAATTGCTAAACTGGCAGATAAGAAACTGGAACCGTACGAGGCGAAGAAAAACATATTCGGATAACTGTCAGATAAAGGTAACTATAAGATACTTAACCGCCACTTTTAGTTGGACATTGATAAACCGGCCCTTAGTTGTAAAAAGAAGAAATGTATAATTCAGGAAGCCTGGAAAATCACTTTGCCGTGGTTTACACGTTATTTTTCTACCAACATAACAGAGAAAACTTTGATATTTTAAATTATTTTTTCTACTTACACCTTTAAAACACCCATTATCGTACATGTACACATTGACAAGTTATTTTATTAATATTAATTAATCACTTGCTAATCTCTATATATTTTGTTTTGTATTTATTTATGTTTTATTTAAGAACTGTATTAAATTATATGACGCTATTTTTTATTTAACTTTTCATCCAAATAATATTTTTTCTAACGTATGTTTACTAAATCTATAAAATTGTCTTTTTATTATTATTTTTAATTTTAAACTTTTTGTTTGAGCACATAGCTCGTGCATTTCGTAAACATCACGTACATTCCGAAAAATATATATTGTATCGAACTAGTTTTTTCTAAATTTATTTCAGTGATTATTTAAATGTACAAAACACAGTATATTTGTGAGACATTTTCTAAAAAACAAATCTACAAAAATGTATATAAACGTATATATATATATATATTAGGGTGGTCGTTAAAAATTAAATTTTTTACGACGCCCCCAGTAAGCTTCGTTTTGATAAAAAAATACTGGAATTTTTTTTAATTTAAAACAACGTGCCTCAAGATCTAAGTTAATTTTTTGGTATAATCATGTCATTTCTGAAAATATGGAATAATAATTTTTTGAGATTTAAAAATTATTAACAATGAAATAACTTCACCTTGAAGTGAAGAAATCTAGATATTTAAATTACGTTTGTACTAATTTAGTTTTAAAATAAAATTGGAATATCCTTAATTTTTTTATTTAATAGACCAAATCAACTGGGAAAAATTTTGAATTTAAATTTTTGTCTATTGTAATTTCGATTAACTATTTTTTTATTAATTTGGGTTCTATAATTGTTTATATTTCGAATAAAATTTTATTTTTTATAAAAAATTCCCAAAAAAACATGATTATACCAAAAAATTAACTTAGATCGTCTTGAGGCACATGTTGTTTTTAATTACAAAAAAAATTCCTAGTGTTTTTTATCAAAAAGAAGCTTTTTAGGGGGCGTCGCAAAAAATTTAATTTTTAACGACCACCCTAATATATATATATATATATATATATATATTAAATTAAATCGTTTTTAATTTTGATTTTTAATGTTTATTAATGAGAAGTACCTACATTTAATTTAAATACTATAATTAAAGATTGTAAAATGATGTACAATATAATAAATTATGATACATAAAATATATACACATATACACACACCACGCCAAAGTTTTTGTTTTGAGTGCGTTCCACCAACTTCAAATACCGACAGACAGCTGTTTCGACCTATATTGGGTCTCATCAGTGTCGGGTAACTTGGTGTAGTGGAACACACCCAAAACAAAGGACTCCCTCAACTTATATGCTCGGTTGGTAAGCCAACAGAGGCGAGATGTAAGAACATCAGGTGATTCACAACGACATTGGCGAGGTGTAGGTTCAATTTTTTCTTACCTAATATAATTTATTTTTAAGAAATGTAACAAAAAGTAATAGTTGTATAAACATAACCTTAAAATCTAACATTTTTATATATGAGTCCTCTAAAAACTGCACGACAACTACATTTTAAAATATTTCTACGAATTCGTGGCAACGTAATATTATATATTTTTAAACTTCTTGGACTGACATCATCTACAATTGTTTATTAACACGACGTTTTAATTGTAGATCTGCAATCGTTATCAAATGAAAAAAAAATAATTTTTGAAACATTTGAAAATGATAAATTTTTATCTTGATATTTTATCTTCTTGGGGTTTTGGGTAGGTTTTTACAATCTATGCAGTGTATAAAAAGATATAACAATACCATTAATGGTAAATATTCTATATATTTTTAATATTATTACACATGTTTTTAAAATTATCTTTGATTTAGGTGCTTGTGGATCAAGTAATGATATTGGAAACCATGACGCCTCTTGATTTTATGGAGTTCCGAAATTATCTGTGTCCCGCTTCGGGATTCCAAAGTTTACAATTCCGATTGTTAGAAAACAAACTGGGTGTTAGACAAGAAAACCGAGTAAAATACAACCAAAACTACACCAAAGTCTTTGGTAATGATGAGGTATAAACAAACACAATTACTGTAAGATAGCACTTAAGAGTTTTTTTTATTTATTTTTAGGGTGCCATGAAAGCAATTGAAAGTTCGGAAAGTGAGCCGTCTCTAACAGATTTAGTTCAAAGTTGGCTGGAAAGAACTCCGGGTTTGGAGATGGAAGGGTTTAATTTTTGGGGAAAATATCAGGATGCCGTTGAAGTATTACTTAATGAACAAAAACAACTAGCAGAAGTAAGTAAACTTGTTATTGAATAAAATTTATTAATCAAAATTTATTCCATAAAGACATGTTTTAAATAAGTGGAAATATTTGCTATGAATTAAATGCTTGAACAACTTTCAAATTAAAGTTAATTCTGTTTGAAATATAATTTAATAGAAACTTTATAACTTTACGGATAAAAATTAAATAGTAGCAAGATATTACATATGTAATAACTTGCTGAAAACTAAATACAGAGTGAATACATTGATGTTTTTAAAATGAAAATAACTCAGCCATAATTGTTAACTCGGCTGGTCTTGGGTACATAGCTTATAATATAATAGTACATAGATATACGAAGTGTGTTCAGAAAATATCGGGAATTTTCGTTTTTTGAAACAAATATTTATTTATTCGTCTACATTAATGTTGTCGCCTTCAAAATAGTCCCCATTGGATATTATGCACTTGTGCCAGCTCTTCTTCCAATACTCGAAACACTTCTAAAACTCGATCTTTGGGATAGCCTTTAGTTCTTTCAGCGATGCGCTTTTAATGTCATCTATGCTTGCAAAACGACGGCCCTTTAAGGTTCTCTTTATTTTTGGGAATAGGAAAAAGTCAGAGAGAGGCATGTCTGGCGAATATGGAGGCTGGGGCATCATTACAGTATTGTTTTTGGCCAAAAATTTTGTTCAAAATTTAACAATTTTAGAACAAATTTTGCTGCCACGCCTTTCATACCCAAAACATTCGAAAAAATTTCATGGGATGAGCCCATCGATATACCAACATCATCAGCGACTTCTCTGATGGTTTATAACAATTTCTTCCACTTTTTCCATGTTTTCATCGGTTGTTAATGTGCTTGTGCATTCGGAGCGTTCGTCATCTTCAACGTCTTCACGGCCATCTTGGAAACTCTTATACCACTTTTAAACTCTTGTTTTACTTATAGCAGACTAAATATAGGCCTTTGTTAACATTTCACAGAATTTATTTTATTTTTTAAGCAAAATTGGATACAAATTCTTTGATTTAACGAACGAAAAATCGCCGAGCTCATAAAATACGTCTAACCTTAGCGGCTGCCACAGACAAAGTAAACAATGAAAACAGCTAAAGTTTTTATCATACTTCGGGGGCATGTATACCAACATAATAAAGAAAATTTTATGACAACCGGACCCTCCGAACCCGCGAAATTTAACAATTCCCGTTATTTTCTGAACACACCTCGTATACCTTACATTTTTTTTCTGCAGGGTGACGCTACCTGCCACACTGCAATCAAAAATAAAACTTAACTTCTCTCAAGTTCTATCGACCCACGTAGGGTTTTTTTAAGTAACCATCTTGAGATGATTTTTAATCTCACAATCAAGGCAAAATTTTACAAAACGAAAATTTCCTGTTTAATGAAGTTTTAAATTTTAAAGAATTGTATTTAAATATTTAGGATTACAAAAACAGAAACCAGACTATATTTTTTGACGTTCTGAATCCGAAATAGATTTTAGAATAGCTTTATCACAAGTTTTCGAGAAAAAAACAAGCAGATTTTTAATATTTGTAAATATCACGGTGTCCCTGAATAACTTTTAATTGAAAGGTTCAGACGTAACCGATTTTTTTTTCATATTAAAAAAAAATCACTTACAAGACAATTTTTTTCAGGATAAACTCAATTCCCTTGGCACTTTTTTTTTAAAATCAATTTTTATAAAAACATTAATGATTTTTAATAAATTTTTTGAGATTTTTAATTAGTGAACTCCAAATAATGACTAACAGCTATTAATGTATTTGTTAGATAAAATGTGCAATTTATTAGACTAGTGAACTATTGACATATGTCACTTGCCACATGTCACATGTCGAAATCATGATTGAAAATACCGTTGCGTTATTTTACCGTTTTTTTTTTTAATTTGTCTCAGATTTATTTATAAATTAGATATAAATACTTTTATTTGCATTGATTATAATTATAGTATATAGTGCAATAAAGCTAATAAAAAACCATGCATGGACACACTTGGATAATCGCGAGAGAATTTGTTTGTTTTGTCTTAAAACAAAGAAAAAATGTCTAAAATATGTGGAAAGATTCTGGAAAAAGTTCAAAGCATAGCTTTAAGTCCGGAACATCAGCAGCAGTTACTATCGCTCTTTTAAAAAAAGCATGCTTGGTTTTTTATTAGCTTCATTGTACTATATACGATAATCAATGCAAATATAATTATTTATATCTAATTTATAAATAAATCTGCCACAAATTTTAAAAAAATGGTAAAATAACGTAACGGTATTTTCAATCACGATTTCGACATGTGACATGTGACAAGTGACATATGTCAATAGTTCACTAGTCTAATGAATTGCACATTTTATGTAACAAATACATTAAAAGCTGTTGGTTATTATTTGAAGTATCCCTAATTAAAAATCTCAAAAAATTGGTTAAAAAACCATTAATGTTTTTATAAAAATTGATTTTTCTAAAAAAGTGCCAAGCGAATTGAGTTTATCCTGAAAAACAATTGTCTTGTAAGTAATTTTTAATCAAAATATGAAAAAAAATTGATACGTCTGAACCTTTCAATTAAAAGTTATTCAGGGACACCGTGATATATTTTATCACAAAAAATTGATCCTTGAAATTTATTAGTTTGGTAAAGAAATCGTTGATGGAAAGATTGTATAAATTTAAAAACGATTTCTTATTATTTATTCTTTTGGGTTAAAATTTATCTCGCTTATCAACATTAATATTAATAATTAGAACACGCGAAGTCAATAGGTGCCCAGGCAGAAGGCTCAATTTTTTTTAAGTAGGTTGAATACTAAAATTAATCAATTAAAGTAAATAATTATAATTATTAAACGTGTAATACCCTTTTTTATTTTAAAGGCAAAATCGGAAATAATAACGTCGTTGATTATGCAAAAGGTCGTGTCACGCCTTTCTGCAGAAGAGAAATAACCCACAAAAATAAAAATAGGGATAAATGGGTTAATTATCTCGATTTTTTTTATTTTTGTGGATTGGTTCCCTTGTGCAGAAAGGCGTCAAAGTGACCTTTTGCAGTATTAACGACAAAGGGTAAAATGTTTTTCTATATACAATTTTTTTTTATTTTTTTTATTGTAATTTTTTTTATAAAACCCTATTTGTCCTCCTATGTGCACCCCTGTCGGCTAACATGTATTGTGTTATATTAATACCATGGGTACTAATATGGGGTGTAATTATAGGCGCCATTATTATTGGCCTAGGGCGTCAAATTGTCTTAATCCGGCCCTGTACTTTTGGGGCTTTTATGTAGGCACGCATTGATGCATTATACAATGTGTTTTCTAATAAATATTTTAAAATTAGGTAGGAAAATATTACCGCCATTATAATAAAGTTACTTATGCAAAATTTTGTTTATTTTATTTCTAGAAATAGTAATAAAATTCTTTATTTGATATTAAAATGTGGAAATGTTTATTTGAATTTTATTTTTATATCAGAATTTTTCTCAAAATATAAAACTACTGAAAAATCTAAAAAGTAGTTGGTGGTTTACTTTTATTTCATTGTTTCATGAGATAACATAGGAATCATATTTTATATCTATCTATATGTGCAATAACAAATTATTATTATTATTATATAATATTTTTTTAATAATTATTAGTTAATAAAATACAAAATTTTTTTTAGAAAGAGCCATGTGAAAACGTAAAACAATACCATCTATCAGATTTGGAAAAGAGAAGGGAAGTGTACGAGTCCATTTTCAAACCTGAAGTCCATCAGGCTTTAATGGCCCGGGGCGAGCGAAGATTTACCCATAAAGCACTACAAGGCGCCATCATGATAACTTTTTACAGAGACGAGCCTAGATTCAGCCAGCCTCACCAAATCTTGACGTTACTTATGGACATTGATTCACTTATTACTAAATGGAGATGTAAGTACCTATATATTATATTTTATGTATTTCCAAAAACTCTTGTTCCAAAAAGGGCTGCATTTTTTTTCCCAAAAACACACATTGAGTGGGCTTGCTTTCCGACATTTTCACTTTAGGTATATCCCTTTTTCCAAAAAGGGCTAAAATTTTTACAGTACATTCGTATAATTATATAGGTAACCGCTTAGAAGTGGCTTCCTGAAATTCCAGCCCTAAAGGCGCAATTTGTTTAAAACTGGGACACTTCAAAATTTAGTTATATTAATTATTAATCCCGGTGCATTCGCCATTTTTGAAAGTATTTAAAGGCTTCACGGATTTTGATAAAATTTTGTATGAATATGATGTAACAGGACGGGAACTGGATGGAAGCGTGACAAACAGTATATTTGGTGTTTAAAACTGCATGGTAATAGTATATTACACTACAAAGGAGTTTCCGCTGATCAAAATTTTCCACCTACGAGGTGTATAACGTTTTATCTTTTATGTAATAAAAATACTTTTTTGATCAATTTATTTTGCTACTAAGTAAGGATGTCACTATGATTTTGTCGTTATTAGAACGTTGTTTACCCATGGGAGGTAAGTAGCTCACTTACCTACTTCCCGTCGTCAATAGCAACCAGCCTTTCACGGTAAATTTAACTTACCTGCTATAAAACAATAAAACAATAGCCTCACTCATTGATAACATTTAATTGTATGAAAATAAGGAGAATAAATTAGAGCATATATATAAATAAAAAAGTTACAGGGGTATTCTCAGATACACCCGGTGTATATATATATATATATATATAATTATTAAATATGGGTATAGACCTGTTATTTGTTACACTTTTTTAAATTTTTATAAATTTTATAAGCAGGGTTTTGGATATATATCACGTCGTACAACTCGCGCCAAAGAGAAAAAGGGAATGTGCCGAAAGTAATGCGAAACACATATTTAAAATTCAAATTGTCTAATATATATATATATATATAATATTTGTTACACTTCTTTATTTGGATGGTCTTTATTAAAATATTAAATAAAATTATTATTTTGTTTTCACGTTGTGGCTTGGACTGAACTTAATATACGTATAAGTATATATTTATATGTAAATATAATTCTTTGATATAAGGGCGGCACATCATTGTGGGCTTAGGGTGGGATTAGCAACATACTTAGGTGGGTAATAATAATAAAACCAAGACCACAAAATGCGTGAAGATAAAAGTAGCGTAATGCTACTAGCATTTAATATAAGTGATATGGTTTCTGTATGAACGAGATTAGGGAAATGCTAAATCTAAGCCTAAAATCGTTGAGTGATCAACACTAAAACTTTATCGTTTTATGATTTTAGTATAGATCAATCTTAAGGGGGTTTACTTACTTAGAAATAATAATATGTTCATATTATTATTATTATTATTATTATTATTATTATTATTATTAACGTATTTTAGGATTTTTTTTATGAAAATTTATAACAAACTTTGCATGACGTATATGACGTAACGGCATCGCAATGCATCGCTAACTCCTGCAGGAGTGTGGCTTTGTCGGTTAAACACAATGACGTACACTTATTTGCCTATTATATTCATAAGTCAATCTTATTAAAAACAAACGGCAAAATTCATAGTCAACTGAAACAATAATAATTATTGTGGTCCTGCAAGGAAAAATATATTTTATTTATAATAATTCTTGTATTTTTATTAAAAAAAAACATGGTATAGATAATCTTTAGCTAAGCTTTTTTATGTTGACCTAACCCTAAAGATAGAGCTACCACCGCCGACGGTGGACGAGTGGTTAGTGCTGCTGACTACAAGCCGGAGGTCGTGGGTTAGAATCCCACCAGGGGTATAGCTGTTTATTTGTATTTGTCCTATTGTGTAATAGTCCTTCGGAGGGGACTTTAAACCCGCGGTCCGTTCCTACCCCTAACCCGCACAAGCCATTCAGTTGGCTTATGGGACTTCTTAGAAAGTAAGGGTGGAACTAAAAGAGCACTTTTGTATATAAATTTTTGTATATAATCTTTAATTATATTCATAGGATGAACCTGGCCCTACCGGGGGAATATAAGTATATTTAATATTGAGTAGAAATTTGCCAAGTGAGCCCATGATTTTCGACGTTGTCATGAAAATTAAAAATAAATATTAAATCATAATCTACTAAGACTTAGTAGTAGAAACTTATCACATACAATTTTTTAAAAAAACTTTTTTCGTTTTTTTACAATGTGTGATTAAAAAAAATTGTAGCATTTGATTTAAAAATTAGTTTCTTGTAAACTATTTAAATGCAGTTAACAATAAAATTTTCAAAAACGTGCTATTCTTTTTTTTGGCAACTTTTTTATTCTTTTTTAATATAAAAATGGCAATTTGGCCTTGTTCTCCCTTAGAAAATTGAAAAAAATAATAGGTAAAAAAGGCTCTGAAACCTAAAGATTAAGGAACCGTTTAAACATTTTTGTGATCGCCCCCTGAGTCAATGATAAATAATATTGTTCAGCGCTGCGCCACGTTGACAGGCGACTCTTTAAGAGGCAAGTTAACAGGCGCATCTTTGCGTTCTATTAGGTACATTAGATGCAAAACATTTTTAAAAAATATATATTTTATCTTATTTATGTTCATAACTGCACTGCCCACAGCATACCTAAGTAAACCAGATGCATAAGTTAATATTTGTAGAATAAAATACATTTATAAACTTACCGCAGCTGCAAAACTGGGTATTTGTTTCTTCCTGTCGGATGCAAAACTCGGTATTTGACCAATCACCAATCACGTCGCTAGTATACGCATTAACTGACGGCATAACAATCACCTGATTAATTGTTATTTTTTTGGTATTTGCACTTTTCACTTGCAAAACTTGGTATTTGAACGAGGAAGATGCAAAACTATGTTTTTAAATCTTTTGATTTTAATTATTTACTAAACTACTTAATTTTAAAGGACTTTTTTTACTTTTTTAAATAAGAAATGATGCAAAAGCACGTCTATACGATTTTTGTATTTTTTTTTTCAAATATGACCTTATGAGCGGTTTTTCGTGTTTTTCTTAAAATCACTTATCCAGCAAATACAGAGTTGTGCATCTAATGTACTCATATATCGTTTATAATTAACATAAACATTTAAAATAACAATTGCCAATTTATTTTTTTAAGACGCAGGATGAAAATAAAAAAAGAATAAAATAGATTTATTACTTTAAAAAATTGCAAAATTAACAATAGTGAACACATTAGCATAAATATAAACATTAAGATGTAAACATACCTAACATAACTAAGCCTCCTATTTTCCCGTAATTACATTTTTAACAAAAACTGTGTCATTCGAGAAAAGTTTACACAAAATATTTGTTTCATCTATAGTTTCATAGCAATGGTATTGTCTGGTATTTTTTATTGTTCTCGCTTTTTCAAAGCGTACCTTTAACGAACTCTCGTGACGTTTATGTTCATTTTGAGAGCAAAAATTAAAATATATTTTTGAAAAATGCTTTTCAGCCCATTGGAAAAGGCTTCGAGGATTAGTAATGTAGTTATTATCTATTCTTTGCAAACTAGCTCGAAATTAAATTTATTTTTATACTGCGACGCGGCTCCATCCGAAAAGTAAAAGATTTTTTTTATATTTTTATCCCCAAATTTTTTTTTCAAGTAATCAATAACTCTTAAATTAAATAAATGAACCGACCATGCATCGTGAGTCAATTTTTCAGAAATAATGACGAAGCTATCGTGCTTTTGCACTCCGTTATGGCGATAATAAATTACATACGGATGGAGAGTAGCCTGAGTATTGGACCAATGATGGGCCTGAATGGCATTTTGCACATGAAATGTGTAATTTTCTGCAAAATCCATGCTTATAACGAATTCCCCTTCCTTAACGTTATTCTTAATTTGGCTAAAATAGGAATCTTGAGACACTGCAAGAAAATCGTCTCTCATTAAGATCGGTAAGTCGTTGGCTAAATTATACAAAAACATGCAAAAACATAAAATTCAAGAGAGATCGTTGGGGCACGTTTTGATAACAATAAAAAATACCTTTTATATAAAATCAGTGATATAGTTATTAAAAATGTCTTCTAATAGTGTCGCTTCTAATTTTTTTTTTAAATATGGGCGGTAAAACAATTTTGATAGCGCAAAATTTAATAAGGCAAAATGTTGTGTTTTGAGTCACAAGAGAGTAAAAATACACAGTTTGGTTAAAAATGTAATAACGAAAAAAAGTAAGAATTAAGTTTAAATTAAGAATGTTTAAGGACAATTTTAATATTTTTTTGCTAAGGGAACGACATTTGATTAAATATTTAGTACGCAAAGATGCGCCTGTTAACTTGTCTCTTAAACGGTGGCCTGTCAACGTGGCGCAACTCTAAACAATATTATTTATCATTGACTCTTGGAGCGATCACAAAAATGTTTAAACGGTTCCTTAATCTTAAGGTTTTAGAGATTTTTTACCTATTATTTTTTTCAATTTTCTGAGGGAGAACAAGGCCAAATTGCCATTTTTATATTAAAAAAGAATAAAAAAGTTGCCAAAAAAAAATAATAGCACGTTTTTGAAAATTTTATTGTTAACTGCATTTATTTTTTACCATTCTCACAAATTTTCATTAATTTTTTATAAATAGTTTACAAGAAACTAATTTTTAAATCAAATGCTACAATTTTTTTTAATCACACATTGTAAAGAAACGAATGAAGTTTTTTCAAAAAATTTTATGTGATAACTTTCTACTACTTAGTAGATTATGATTTAATATTTATTTTTAATTTTCATGACAACGTCGAAAATCATGGGCTCACTTGGCAAATTTCTACTCATTATAGAAAATTTACAAACGGCATTCGTATTTGGTGAATTTATGAGGTTAAAAGGACTGAAGATTATTAGTGTAATATACCTTTATTGTATTAACCACGATTTATTAACAGGTTTTTAAATAGTTTTAT